GGAACCAGAACCGGTCCACCGGATCTCCTGAATGCCACAGAGATCCAGGTGGTACCGGTCCAGCTCCCGACAAAGGAGTGGCAGCCTCTCCTCCGCAGTGAGCATTCGAACATTCCACGTGGCCATCCGCAATGGTTTTTCGTTGTTTCTGGAGGAGCCCCGAGGGTGAAGATTCAATCTCCTGGCTCCGCCAAATGGGGTTTGGCCAGGAGACGTCATAAAAGCCTGTCCCCCCGGGGCCACTGGCACAAGCTTATTAGTTACAGGTTTATGTTTAATTCGTGGTTTCGTGGTAATTAATTGAAGGTGGAGGGGTTACCAGCCCCTCGCACCCGTCCAGAGCCCCCGTTTAGCCACTGTGGTGGTCACAGACGCCATGAGGGGAGAGGCCAATGGGCATTGGCCCTCCCACCATAGCAATGTCCACGACAGTGTTGCCCATCCGGCACCGCGAGGAGGTAGCAGGTTGTTTTACACATACACACATATGCACACACACATATGGACTCACACACACACAAAGACATCCACTTGAGATACACACACATGGAGTTACACAGACATATCGACGTACACACATACAGCAACTCACACACACACACACAGACTCACACATTGCCCTACAAACAAATACATATATTGACTGTGACACACAGGCATCTACTTAAGATACACACACATAGATTAACACACACATATCGACTTACACACACGCATTGACTTACACATTCAGATGGAGCCATGCACACACGTCAACTAACACACGCACATGGACGAACACACACACAGCGACTGATACGCACACAAATGGACAGACACGCACACTTGGACCTACACGCACACACATATGGACTCAAACACACACATCGACTCACACACACACACACATCGACGTGAACAGCAATCCCCGATGATGGCACAGCTATGAGCATGGCAGTCCTATGTATCAGTAAATGGCGTGACGTGAGCAATCGAAACAATAGAAATGCATTGAAGAAATAAGCAGAAATAATCAGCAGGCAGCAGGCCACATCACAGACTGGCAGTAGACCGTTGTGGCATCATAAAAGCACAGCTAAAAAAGTCACTATTTAGCAACCTAATAATGAAAATTTTGTTTGTGCAACACAAACATTATTATTGTAATATCTGCCAACGTATTTGTTTAATAATAGTAAACAATAATACGACATTGATGCTTTGTAAGCACTGTAATAATATTCATATCTAGGTACTTCATAGCAGTAACTGCACGCATCATGTTGGGGGGCAGGGGCAGCGTTGTGTATATTTATTGCATTTTAAACGCGTTAAAAAAAAATGTCCCCCGTGAGCTCGACCGAACGCGCATCACTTGGCAGGGTCCCCCCCAACGCATTTGGCGTGAGTTGGTACAGTCGATGTCGCAGAATAAATATAGCAAAATCCCACTAAATCGCTAATTTAACTAATTTAAAGGTGACGGACGTGAAGAAGGAATAGCCTATTCCCATCGCGGGGCTTAGGGCGTGCTGGCTGGCAAATATTTTTGTACGTGAAGCCCACCGTTCGAGAGCCAAATTCCTCGCAAGCGCACGCAGATACTTTTATATATAAGACTAGCGGCAAGTACCCGGCATTGCCCGGGCAAAAAAGGCAGACACATGTAGTTACACACACAAATGGACTCGCACACACACAGAGTTACACACACAAATCGACTCACATACATACATAGACTGAACAAAAACCGGCATTCGCCACTAAGTGGCGGTGACATCACCAGAACGCTTGTGCCAGGCTATGTGCACCTTGATGCCACGTGAAGTGTTGAATGCCCGCTGGCAGGAGGTCACAGGGCAAAGCCAGATGGCACAGGTGGACTGACTGAGACGACTGACTGATGCACCACCTGTGGCCCCTACTGTGCCAACTTGCTGTGCTTTAGCCACCTGGCGCTCCACTCGTTGTCGTGAGCGTCGCTCCTAGGCCCTCCGTTGTTGTTGGAGGGCGACTGCCTCCAACTGCCCAGTAGCGTCCTTCAGGAGGCTCCTCCACAGAGGGCCGATCCTGACACGGCTGGTACCAGTCATCGGCAAGTTGACTCAGCTCCACGTCCTCCTGTACCACATCACTCCATGTCTTCTGTAGCCCGGGCCATTTAGCCCCCTCGATCCAGCCGAACAAAAGATGTTTAGGCATGCGGTGTCTGGCCATGCGGGCTACATGACTCAGGCAACGCAGCCTTACCTGGCAGAGGAGCTCAACGATGGGACTTTGTCCACATCTTTCAAGGATTTGTGAGCTCCTCACACAATGCAGCCTGGTTAAATCCAGGATGGATCTAGGCAGGCCATCCTAAATGTTTCTAATCGGCGAAGATGTTCCATTAGGGGGGCGCAAGTGTAGAGAAGGGAGGGAATGACCGTGGCCGAGAAAACCTGAAGCTTCGTGCGGAGTGATAGACCAGGTAGCTTCCACACAGGGTTACGCAACCAATGAAAAGATAATGTGGCTCGACTGATTCGGAGTGAGACCTCTGCTGTTAAACCGGAGCCGGTCATTAGCACACTGGCAAGGTATGGGAAACTCTCCACTGTCTCAACAACTGCCCCATCACCAATTTGGAGTTGTGGGGGTGGAGTGTCCGATGGTAGAAAATGCCCAGGCAGGTGCTTAGTTTTGGTGGGGCTGATGGTAAGGCCCCTACTTCTTGGTGGCAAGCTCCAGGTTCAGCAGCAGCACCTCCAACTCCTCCTCCGAGTGAGCAGCAATTAGCAGATCATCGGCATACATAACGTGGTTGAGCAATAGGGAGCCATCCCTTGACCGCACCCGGGCATCGATCAGCCTCCTATTGTATCTGTACCAGATGGAAATTATAGCGGTACAGCCATTGAAGGCTTCAGGAACTACGTGGTCCAAATATATGTAAAATAATGTGAGAGACAGAGGACATCCCTGTTGCACCCCAAGGTGTATAGGGAATGGCTCTGACTCATGGCCACGTAGTTTAACGCGGGGCCGCTTACCATCATGAAGGTCATTAAGGATGGTGAGCAGTGGGTGAGGGACTCGGAAAGCACGAAGAACAACCCAGAGCCCAGGCCTACTGATGGTATCATAGGCCTTGAGCAGGTCAATAAAGTACACACATGGACTAAGACGCACACATGGGCCTACAGACACGCAAAGAAATGGACTTAAACTGACTAACATGGAGGCATGCACACACAGCAACACACACGCACATGGACTCAGACACACACACATATGGACTCACACACACAAACACATCGACTTACACACACACACATATGGACTGACACACACATAGACATCCACTTGAGATACACACACATGGAGTTACACACACATATGGACGTACACACATACAGTGACTCACACACATACATACATAGAGTGACACACACATTGCCGTACACACACATACAGACTGTCACACATAGACATCCACTTGAGATATACACACATGGAGTTACACATATATCGACGTACAAACATACAGCGACTCACACACAGACATACGTGGACTCACACACACATTGACGTAAACACATATATGTACTTACACACATATGGACTAAGACACACACACATGGACTTAGACACACATAGATAGACTAACACACACACAGCCCTACACACATACGACAAACAGACATCTACTTGAGATACACAGACATTAACACACATATGGACTCACACAAACGCATTGACTTACACACACACATCGAGTGAAACACACATGTATAGACTTACATACACATGTGGACTAACACACACACATGTGGACTAACACTCACACACATGTGGACTAACACACACATATGGACTAACACACACATATGGACTGACACACACATACACATGGGCGTACATGGCCACATCACAGACTGGCAGACCATCGCGTCATAAAAGCGCAACAAAAAAAGGTAAAATTTAGCAACCTAAAAATAAGAGTTTTGTGCACACAAACATTATTATTGTCATTTTTGTCAACTAATGTGTTTAATAATAGAAAACATTGGACTTGATTTGTTAGTGTAAGAAGGTTGGAACTTTGTACTTACCATAGGCGTGTTGAGGCCTTGTGCCATGCGTAGCCCCCCTCCTGGCCTACATTGGCGAGGCGGCGGAGTTGGCACGTTGCCAGGCTAGGGGCTGGGCCGCTACCCCCTCCCCCAGCATCCCCTGCCCGTGCAAGAATAATGGTATGTAAGCAGTAAAAAATAATTATCTAGGGAGTCTTCTGTAGTATAAACTGGACACATCGTGTTGGGGGGGGGGGGCGAAGAGGACATTACACTGTGAAGAAATATCCGCAGCGTCATGTGCGTATGTGTTGGCTGTTAAACGTGTAAAAGGAAATGTCCCCCGTGAGCTGGAGCGAAGGCGCATCACTTGGCAGGGTCCGCCCCCCACCCACGCAATTGGCGTCAGTTGGTACGGTCGATGTCGCGCAATAAGTAAATAATTAATAATAGAAACGGCACAAATGTGTTAATTAAACTACTTTAAAGTTTAGGGATGGGAAAATAAAATCGCGTATTCCCACCGCGGGGCTTAGGGCGTGCCGCCTGGCAATTTTTTTTCTATATATAGCCCATCGTCGAGAGCCAAATCCCCCGCATGCGGGAGCGCGCGGAGACTTATATATAATAAAGAAAGATAAAGAAGAAAAAGAAAAGAAAAAGAAAAGAAAGATAACGATTTTTTTTACATCACGTAAATATGAATGCATCGTTAATCCCGCCACCACCCGACAAGGCCAATTAGTAAGGTTCGTTGAATCTGGCCGTCGTCTGATGAGGCTGGTTGTAATTACTGGCGAAACATCGTACTCGGATTGTAAATGTTGTCGGTTTACTCTCCAACACATAACCGCTTAGTGCTGAACTAGTAACTGATTGGCACGTTTATTTTTAGAAATATCTCAAGTATTTTCGGTCTCGACACAGCACTGATGCCGCCCGTCTCCACTTTTTCTTCCCTATCAGGCTCGGGAAGCATCGTTGGCCCTGTGGTGGGAGGTGTGCTGGGAGCGTTGGTGATCATTGTTGGAGGGGTCTTACTCTACATACGCCGGGAGCAGCTGTACGTTCTGAGTGCAAACACACACATAGCACAGCTGCCAACTTCACATTCACTGCGATATCAACTTTGGTCACAGGTGTACATGAACAACCCGTCGTGAATTCACTGCTGGATGAAGACTTGTCCACACCACACGGGATCTGGGGTTATTTGGCAATCCTTCGAGACCCTGATCAGTGTCTCTCTTAACTCACGCAGCCTCATTGTAAAAAGCCAACTCTGCTTTCCTAAATAAAGTGATTCATTAAGTTTTGGTAATTATGTGTATTTCCCTACAGTGCTGTTTTGATAGTGCTATCGATGTTTCTTATCCTTTCAGATCTCTGTCAGAGTAGTGCATTACCCCGTGTTAGACAACGACGGTCTGCGGGAAATAGATATCACATAACTACGACCAATATTCCCTAAAGTTATGTCTGAATCAGTCACACTCCGGCCATCCTTGCAGCGGCAGCGGCTTTTGGCTGGCCATCGAACAAAGACGGTCACTGCATCGCACGCTTTTGGATGCACTTCTGCGCCCATCTAGAATGCTCTTCCATCCGATATTAGGAAGCCACTGGAGCTTTGCACTTTAAAATGATCTCGATGGGAAAACCAATTTGTTTAAATTATTTTTGTGTTTAGTGTCTTGTCTTTCCCCTGCACCTCCGATTAGCGCGGCTGCCACCTACTGTATACATACAGTCACACAGTAGGGGGCAGCAGATTCCTACTCACCCAGCTACGGAATAAGCAATATTCACTCTAGATTTGAAGCTTTCGTGACTGCAGGAATCCATACTCTCTGGTTCTTTCGGTAAAGTCACGTAGGTATACAATTAAATAAAACATAAATCACGACGTTTCGATTGCAACACAAGCAATCGTCATCAGGTGGGAAAACCACAGCAAGAAAATATTTTGCTGAAGTGGGAGAGAAATACCGTGGTAAGAGGTTATATAGCTAAGAGAGGGGGGAGAGGCAAGGAGGGGGGTAAGGGAAGGGGAGCGTTGCATGGACGCGAGGAGAGGGAAGTGAAGCTGGACGGGGGGAAGTGGACGGGGCTGGAAGTGGAAGGCTGAGAAAGCTGGGGATGCGCGGGGGGGAGGATGCAACAACAACGCCACTGCAGAAACAATGCCAATGAAGCCAACAAAGCCAATGCAGCAGCAATGCCAAACGCTGGGGATGCAATTAACTGTTGTTGCATCCCCCCCCCCCCCCGCGCATCCCCAGCTCTAGGCCTCGGCAAGGTAAGGTAAAAGTTAAACGGTAAAAAAAACAAGACAAACTTTACCCTACCTTTTACCTTACCACAATACAATCGTTCTACCCTACCTTTTACCCTTTAGCAGGTAAAGTAAAAGGTAAACGGTAAAAAGCAACTAGCTTACCTTTACCCTACCTTTTACCCTTACCCAATACAAATTACCCGATTACAGGGTAATTACTAGGGATCTACTACACATGAACAAGGTTTATAACGGTAAATGCTAGGTAGAGCGCTTTATACATATAGAATACTCTCGATGATTCCAATTTTACACGCTTTTACCCGGTAAAAAGGGTAAATTACCTTACCTTGCCAAGGCCTAACCAGCTCTCTCAGCCTCGCACTTCTAGTCCCGCCCACTTCCCCCTGTTCAGCTTCACGTCTCTCTCCTCGCGTCCACGCAACGCTTCCCACCCTCCCTTGCCCCTCCCCCCTCTCGTAGCTATATAACCTCTTACCACGGCATCTCTCTCCCACTTCAGCAAAAAATAAAACATTCTATGGTTTCCCCACCTGATGATGATTGCTTGTGTTGCAATCGAAACGTCGTGATTAATTTAATTTAATTTTATACCTACGTGACTTTACCGAAAGAACCAGAGAGTAAGCAATATTCACCACATGGTACTCAAACCTATTATTTTAATATATTTTTGTGATACTGCATTGGCAGTAGTTCATGAGCATAGATAACAAAAACTAAACGCATTTGTTAATACCACTGCTCTAAAAGGAAATACAATGATGACGCTTTTGATAATGGTCCTTTATCTATGTGTTATAAAGAAACGCCATTGCATGAAACATAATCTAGTATATATTTACTTGCAGGAAAGTTTATGACTGAGTTTGTAATTCTCAGAGCTGGAATTTATAAAAAGTGCAGAAGCAAGTTGTCAGGTTTTTGTTCATTCCTTGCCAACTGGGTTGAGCCCAGTTTTAAAAACAGGCATCTGCCCAGATTAAACGCCAGGAACTCAGTTCGTTCCTAGACCTATTAGTGCTTTTGTCAGTCCATTCATCTGTGGGTCTGTCCACCTAGTAGTCTGCCTATTGGTTAAATGTTCCCAACATGTCCCTCTTTCTACAGGAACTGTTTCAAGAGACCCGATTCCACACTGCAAACTAGGTAAGTATTCATTCCTCTTATCCACTTGTCTTAGTACCTGCATGCTCTGCTTGTCTCTTCGACGAATCGTATGTGCTTACCACTGAGAATCTCCCGCTTTTGTATGTACAGTGAGGGAAAAAAGTATTTGATCCCCTGCTGATTTTGTACGTATGCCCACTGACAAAGAAATGATCAGTCTATAATTTTAATGGTAGGTTTATTTGAATAGTGAGAGACAGAATAACAACAACAAAATCCAGAAAAATGCATGTCAAAATTTTTATAAATTGATTTGCATTTTAATGAGGGAAATAAGTATTTGACCCCCTCTCAATCAAAAGGATTTCTGGCTTCCAGGTGTCTTTTATACAGGTAACGAGCTGAGATTAGGAGCACACTCTTAAAGGGAGTGCTCCTAATCTCAGCTTGTTACCTGTGTAGTAAGTAGAGGAGGAGACGATGTCGAAGTTGAGACACGCTGTTTATTAACTCCGGGACAGATACAATAGTTGAAGGGGTATCGGCCCCTTCACCCGTACTATGGGAAACCCACCCTAGTACTAAGCCCTCTGTCCTGTCTCCCAGTCCTCCTCTACTGGGCTACGGGAGGCTGACTGATCTGGCCCTGGCAAGCACAGATCTCGGCACCAGCTAACCAGCCTTGCCCTGATAAGGGCAGCGGTCTGGCTTACCCGGCTCGGCCCTTATAAGGACGGCGAGACCGGGGAGTCCCAGGGCCTAATCTCCGAGTCTTGGATCTTCACTGGTCAGCTTCGTGTCGAACCCCCCTCGAGCTCTTTGGGTTCCACCTTTTATAGGGATCGCCTCCGAGGGCTGGGGGCGTGGGCAATAACTGATGCGGACGTCGGTGTGACCCCCCGTGTATGTGAGTGCCGACAGCCCTGTGTTTGTTGTCCGCCGTTTCTCCCGTAATAACCCCTACATCACCCCCCCATGTACAGCTCGCAGCCGTCCCGGCTGCAACAATCCCTCAACCCCCAAGAATAAAGATTAACACCGTCAATACACGTGTGCCTCGTAACAGTAACAATAACAAGAACAAGCGTAACATCAACCGATGGTTCCCTATAAAAAAAAACCCCCACCCAGAACCGCAACACATATACAGAACGGTATAACAGCACATGCAATCAGCATATCGCGATCACACGCGTACATTGAAGCACAATAGCAAGCAAATCTGCAGGCGACCAACACACCATCAATCCCGTCGTAACTTTTCAACCACAACACAGTTATTCCCTCTCATGCAACGACCGCATCGCACACAGCACCTCGCAGCACAATACAGCCCAAAAAAAACATTTTTTTTTCTTTTTTTTTCAATTAAGCCCATCGCGCACGGTGACCCACGAGATGGTACAGCACAGGATACCCGACGCTCCCACGTTAATAATTAACTTTACCATCAAGATAACAACTCCACGCAGCAGCGCACACACTCCCTTTGAAACTCAGCAACCACAGCAGACTCTCCGTCCATTCCCAACACACGCACACACTTACATGGACAGCAAGCAACAAGCAGATAGCGTGGTCATCGTTATTACACACACATACAACCATTAAAAAAACATATATACAATGAGCGGGTTCCGCAGCAACGGAACACGCGCGGAAAGCTAATCATAACAACCGGCGCGTTTTGGCGCGAGTCCGTGCAGCGGGCCCGTCACAAGGGGCCGGCTTGGTAGAGTCGGTGGCAGGTGTCGCATCAGCAGGTGCCTGGTCGTCCGGTTTCCCGGACGTGCGAGCGCCGCCCCCCACGGGGGAGGCTGGCAGCCAAGAGGGCTTCAGTCCTGGGGCTCCTGAAGACGGGACAGTCATTAGTGGATCAGAGGCTGGCATCGATCCCGCCCCCCCGGAGTCAGAGGACTCCCCACATGTTCGGCCATTTACGTGGGAGGAAGCGTGCGGAGCAAAAAATGGCTTTAACCGTGAAGGGTGCACAAACCACCGACGCTTCCCCCACTTAATGCGCACACATTGAGGCCGCACAACCTGCACAATTTCAACGGGGCCCCTCCATGGTCGCAACAACTTAGCCGAGGTGGCCAATGGCACCTGGGGGCAGTGCAACCATGCTCGGTCGCCCGGGTGCCATTCGTGCGTGTGAGTCCGGCGCGACCGCAATCTCTCGTTTTGTTTCTGGCGAGAGTCAGAGTTTTGCATGGCCGCCTGCCGTGCCTCCGCCAAGCGAAGGATGTTAAATTTAACATGGTCGGCGATTTTCGACTTAGCATGAGGCGCGGCAATCGTCAGCTGAGTCGCGACAGGCGGGTCAACCTCGCGACCATACATAAAAAAAAATGGCGAGAACCCGGTCGCCGCGTGAGGAGCCATCCTGTATGCCGCCAGGACTCCCCCGATCCGTAGATCCCAATCGTTTTGGGACTCAGATACCTGGTGGGATAGCATGGACGTAAGAGTCCTATGCAAGCGTTCCACCATCCCATCCGTTTGTGGATGGTAAGGCGAGGTACGAACTTTCTTTGTACCCAGAAAGCCACATACCTCGTGTAAAAGGGTACTAGTGAAATTCTTTCCCTGATCGGTCAACAACCGTTCCGGAGCGCCCTTGTTGAGGACGTAGCCCTGAACAAAAGCCTCCGCAACGGCCGCTGCGGACTGGTTGGCGAGGGGCCAAGCTATAGGCCATCGCGTGAAATATTCCACGCCAACCAGCAGGTACTTATTACCCCTCGGCGTGGAAGGAAACGGTCCCAAAATATCAAGGGCGACCAGCTCGTTAACCCGGGTGACCGAAATGGACTGGAGCGGTGGACTGGCTCCCTTCGCCGGCGGCTTCCGTTGTGCACACTGGGTACAGGACCGCAGCAGATCGTCCACGTCTCTTGCCATGCCCGGCCAAAAGTAGTTAAGCTGGAGCATGGCAAGTGTTTTGAGGGTACCCAGGTGCAGGAGCCGTTCATGAGCAGCCCATACAGCCCTACCCCTCAACGTGGAAGGCACCACCAGCCTGTGACGGCGGATCGTCCCGTCCCAATGCATGAGTAAGCCCTGGCACCACCCCCATGAGTCAACGCCCGACTTCCCTTGACCTGATCCTTCCGCGCGACGTCGTAGCGCCAGGAGGGTCGCATCCTCCATTTGGAGGCGACCCCACTCAGCACTTGACAAGCCAAGTAGGGAATCACTCCCACCCTCCGAAATAGGACCAGCGTCCGAAGGAGTATCAACTGCGGCCGCAAGAACCCGATCCTGGCCGTCACTTGCCGATTTGCAACGGCCCGAACCCAAGAAACAAGTGCAATCCGGGGCGATCGGCAGGCGTGATAGGGCATCGGCATTGGTGTGGCGAATCCCCTTCCGGTAAGTTGTCTCAAAATCGAAATCCTGCATGATCTCGAGCCATCGGGACAACTGCCCCGATGGCTGGTTAATTCGTAGGGCATACTGCAACGCTGCATGATCTGTACGGACGGTGAAATGCCGGCTGTACAGATATGGCCGGTACTGTTGGATAAAGAACACGATAGCCAACAGTTCGCGGCGGGTGACGCAGTACCGCTGCTCGGCCGGGGACAGTACTCTACTACCAAAAGCCACAACGCGCTCCACGCCACCCACAATTTGTGACAGCACGCCTCCAATCCCGGTATTGCTTGCGTCCGTGTCGAGCACGAACGGCATGGAAAAATCGGGGTAGCTTAACGGCGGGGCCCCCACCAGGGCATCCCGAAGAGAGACAAAAGCGGCGTTCTCCACCGGCCCCCAATGAAATTTGACCCCTTTTGACGTCAAGGCATGTAGTGGCTTAGCGATGGAAGCAAAGTCCGCAACAAACCGGCGGTAATATGAAGCAAAGCCGATGAAGCTTCTAACCTCCCCCACCGAGGTGGGAATAGGCCAGGAGCTGACACAACGCGTTTTGGCGGGATCGGTTGAGATACCTGACTGGCCGACGATGTGACCCAAATATTTAACAGATTCGCGCAGCAAATGGCACTTTTGTGGCTTGAATTTCAAATTAGCAGCGCGCATCTTGAGAAAGATGGCCCGAAGCCTATCAAGGTGTTCCTCGAACGTCTTACTGAATACGATAACGTCATCCAGGTAAATCAAACACACCTCCCATTGCAAGCCAGCGAGGACCAATTCCATCAGGCGCTGGAACGTCGCGGGAGCAGAGTGTAATCCCATGGGTAAGCGATTGAATTGGAAGAGGCCGTGCGGCGTTCGGAAAGCTGTTTTGAGCCTAGATTCGTCGTCCAAGGGAAGTTGCCAAAATCCTGAGAGCAAATCCAAAGTGGAAAAGAATCGCGATCCCGCGAGGGCATCCAGCGATTCGTCCATTCGAGGAAGCGGATAAGCATCGGCCACCGAGATCTTATTTAATCGCCGGAAATCAACGCAGAACCTTAGGGACCCGTCGTGCTTTTTAACCAACACTATGGGTGCACCCCAAGGGCTGGTCGAGGGAGAAATGATGTCCGATTTCAACATGTCATCTACAGCCGATTTGACATGATCCTTTTCCGCGGGACTTAACCGAAAAGGATTTTGGCGGATAGGAGCGTTGTCACCGGTGTCAATATGGTGGCGTAGCAATTTGGTACATCCGATATCGTATTTGTGTTTACTGAAGACGTCGGAAAATTCTCGCAATAAGGCGCGTAATCTAGCACGTTGTGCGTCGGACAGGTCAGGTGACTCAGCACACAACGCATCCAGCCAACCCTCGTCAGCGTCTGAGGCTAATCGCGTTTGAGAATCGGTGGCCACCTGGCCAATGATCGGCGTTTCCGCAGGTACCGGAACCGCATGTGCGAACACGGTACCTTGCGAAACCACTGCCGTCCGTGTCCCGACATTGAGGACCGCGATAAACGGGTCCCCATCCCCTTTAACAATAGTCTGGGCCGTCACCAGATCTGGCCCACTCACCCCGGCTCTAGATGGTCCCAAAATAACGCCCCGGTCAGAGACCCCTTTATCGAACGGTCGACGCAAGCGCAGGGGTACCAACATCTGTGCCCCCGGGGGTACACGCACCGTCCGAGCAACAAGCGCCTGTACCGTAGCACAGGCAACACGCAAGGCAGGGGTGGCAGGTAGGAACGTCATACGTCGGCCCGATGGAAGCTCGATGCATTGCTGGTCAATCAGAATTTTGATGGGCAATTTGGCCAAAAAGTCTGTCCCCAACAGGCACGGAATAGCCAGCGAGGAGGAGACGAACACCGGGCCAGATAGTTTAATGTCCCCTATCGAAATTTGCGCTCGAATTTGACCGATAATACCCAACGAGCGCCCATTCGCAGCGTAAAACGGTATATCGACAGGGAGCAACGGGCGACTCTGAATGGGCAGGATATTATAAATCAAATCCGAAATGATAGTTGCCGAAGCTCCCGTATCGACCAATAGCCGTACCTCCACCCCGTCAATATGCCCCGCGACAACGGACGACCCCGCCGATGCAGCCACAACTCGGTGAGCCAACTCGGACCATTGGCCCGGTTGGAGCGCCCTCCCCGACATGCCGCGACCCGACGCACCAGCATCCAAACCCCGAGAATCGTGTGTCGGACCTTGTGATAGGAAAGTGGGTGTGTGCAGGCCGAACATGTGGGGTGCCATGACTTGCCCGAGGATGTTGCGAAGGCTTGTGAGGAGGGCCGTCCGCAGCTCCAGGTCTCGCACCGCGCTGTCGAGGAGCCCGGCATCCGGACGCCACGTGGCCCCGGAGGCCACAATTATAGCAGACGACGAGCGTTCCAGAGGACTTGGGCTGGTCTCGGTGGCTTGGAACGTCCCGAGCCGGTCGCTCGGCAGATCGCCATCCTGCAGAACGATCCGCAGCGAAGGCTCCCTCCATTCCGGAAGAGGTCGCCGCCACGGTGTGTCGTGCAGCTGCTTTGTTCGCCTTCCTCCGCTGGGAGATGAGATTGGCGTGAATGTGCCTTGCAGCCCGCAGTGATGACATATCCGCATCGTCCTGCGCTAAGATGGTGAAGTCCAAATCGTCAGCCAGCAGCAAAATTTTCTCGGCCACCATCGCATCGATCCCCTCTTCATCCATACGCGGGAAAGCGTCCTTCGCCAATGACAGCAGGGCCGTGCGATAAGCGAGTGGCGATTCCTTGTGACCCTTCTGCCGTTCATAGAAGAGCTGGCGACAATCGGAGGGCGGCCCATAAACGGTGGCCAGCAGCTGCAGCGCCGACTGAATGGTGGAGCGAGCCGACTTGGGTGCAGCAGTGAGGGTGCCCAGGGCGTCGCCGTCCAGTAACGCCGGGAGAGCACACAGCGCCTCGTTGTCCGACCAGCCTGCCATCTCTTGGTGGGCCAAGAACCGGCGCTGGAACCCCCCCCAATCGCCGTCGCTTGCAACAAATACCTGCAGGGCCGGCAGGCGTTGCTGGAATGTCGGCTCCGTCTCCGATCCTCTTGCAGCATCCGTAGCGCGTCCCCGTACTGTATGAGTAATGGCGGACTCTAATGGGTGTCGCGCCGTCAGTGACGTGTTGGTCGGGGCTTGGTCGGTGCTGGCGTCCGCTGGTGGTGACGTTGCAACCCCTGATAGGCCGCCACCGCGACCCGCCTCCGCCGATGACGTGGCGGCTGCTGGCTGGGCACCGTCCCCCGCGTGACGAGCTGGGACTCCTCCCTCCGCCCCTACTGTCTTCGTGGCGGGAATTTCGAGTCGCCCCGCTGTTGTAAAGGCGGGAGTTTCTGGCGGGCGTTGTCCATCTTCCCGCCGCGTCGCTCCTCCCGGCCCCAGGCGAGTTATTTGTTCCAGCATAGCGGCCGCTGCATACAAGAGCTCCGCCAGCCGCGAGTGAGCCAACGCCAACTCGTCAGTCGACGTCCCGGCCCTCTCCGACGACCCCGCCGATGTCGGAGCCGGCAGCTGTTGTGCAGGTACGTCGGCGGCGATGTCTTGCACTGCCCCTCCCTCGTCGTCATCCTCTCCTGGGTCTTGGGCACGAGTCTTCCGTCTCGTATCCATGCTTGGACCACTTCCAACACCAGATGTAGTAAGTAGAGGAGGAGACGATGTCGAAGTTGAGACACACTGTTTATTAACTCCGGGACAGATACAATAGTTGAAGGGGTATCGGCCCCTTCACCCGTACTATGGGAAACCCACCCTAGTACTAAGCCCTCTGTCCTGTCCCCCAGTCCTCCTCTACTGGGCTACGGGAGGCTGACTGATCTGGCCCTGGCAAGCACAGATCTCGGCACCAGCTAACCAGCCTTGCCCTGATAAGGGCAGCGGTCTGGAAGCTCTTGGGCCGCGCCACTGGCTTACCCGGCTCGGCCCTTATAAGGACAGCGAGACCGGGGAGTCCCAGGGCCTAATCTCCGAGTCTTGGATCTTCACTGGTCAGCTTCGTGTCGAACCCCCCTCGAGCTCTTTGGGTTCCACCTTTTATAGGGATCGCCTCCGAGGGCTGGGGGCGTGGGCAATAACTGATGCGGACGTCGGTGTGACCCCCCGTGTATGTGAGTGCCGACAGCCCTGTGTTTGTTGTCCGCCGTTTCTCCCGTAATAACCCCTACACCTGTATAAAAGACATCTGTTCACAGAAGCAATCAATCAATCAGATTCCAAACTCTCCACCATGGCCAACACCAAAGAGCTCTCCAAGGATATCTGAGACAAGATTGTCGACCTATACAAGGCTGGAATGGGCTACAAGACCATCGCCAAGCAGCTTGGCGATAAGGTGACAACAGTTGGTGCGATTATTCGCAAATGGAATAAACAAATAAGAACTGTCAATCTCCCTTGGCCTGGGGCTCCATGCAAAATCTCACCTCGTGGAATTGCAATGATCATGAGAACGGTGAGGAATCAGCCCAGAACTACACGGAAGGATCTTGTCAATGATCTCAAGGCAGCTGGGATCATAGTCACCAAGAAAACAGTTGGTAACACACTACGCCGTGAAGGACTGAAATCCTGCAGCGCCCACAAGGTCCCCCTGCTCAAGAAAGCACGTATACATGCCCGTCTGAAGTTTGCCAATGAACATCTGAATGATTCAAAGGACAACTGGGTGAAAGTATTGTGGTCAGATGAGACCAAAATGGAGCTCTTTCGCATCAACTCAACTCGCCGTGTTTGGAGGAGGAGGAATGTTGCCTATGACCCCAAGAACACCATCCCCACCGTCAAACATGGAGGTGGAAACATTGTGCTTTGGGGGTATTTTTCTGCTAAGGGGACAGGACAACTTCACCGTATCAAAGGGACGATGGACGGGGCCATGTACCGTCAAATCTTGGGTGAGAACCTCCTTCCCTCAGCCAGGGCATTGAAAATGGGTCGTGGATGGGTATTCCAGCATGACAATGACCCAAAACACACGTCCAATGCAACAAAGGAATGGCTCAAGAAGAAACACATTAAGGTCCTGGAGTGGCCTAGCCAGTCTCCAGACCTTAATCCCATATAAAATCTGTGGACGGAGCTGAAGGTTCGAGTTGCCCAACGTCAGCCTCTAAACCTTAATGACTTGAAGATCTGCAAAGAGGAATGGGACAAAATTCCTCCTGAGATGTGTGCAAACCTGGTGGCCAACTACAAGAAACGTCTGACCTCTGTGATTGCCAATAAGGGTTTTGCCACCAAGTACTAAGTCATGTTTTGCAGAGGTGTCAAATACTTATTTCTCTCATTAAAATGCAAATCAATTCATAACATTTTTGACATGCGTTTTTCTGGATTTTGTTGTTGTTATTCTGTCTCTCACTGTTCAAATAAAATTACCATTAAAATTATAGACTGATCATTTATTTGTCAGTGGGCAAACGTACAAAATCAGCAGGGGATCAAATACTTTTTTCCCTCACTGTATGTACACATGTTGAACTTGTTTCATACCTTACGTATTCAGCGGTGCTCATCGGAGGTGCGAGAAGCACAAACGAAACATAAAACGCAGTTCTCAAGACATGAGTTTTAAATCTAGTTATTAAAAAGTGCATGGCTCCCGTGGCTTCCGCATTAAATGGCAATTTTTAAATAGCAATTTTGGAAACACTACAATGAGCTAAAACATGTAGATTCCGTAAGTCACAAGTTGGAGGGCAGGAGCTTCCATTGATGTAAACTGTCTATTTGTAAATATGTTTCGACAAAGAAGAACACGATTCAAGTCCTTATTTCTGAAGTGAATAATTACATTAAATATTATCGGGCATGGAGTGACAGCGCAGTGGATAGTGTTGTTGCGGTTTGAGGCCGGCAACATCAGTTTAGCTACCTTTCCGATAGCAGTACTTTATGCACATTGCCTGCATGTTGAAATAAAAAATACTCAGCAATCTAATGTAATGCCATTTTATTTTTAAAGCACAAGAAAATGGGACGATCTCCCAGCTATACCAAGTGACATGAAAAAGGATGTTTGTGATGCAAGTTATAAGGCCGGCAATGAATACGTGATTCCTGACGACTCCACTTATGAAGATCTGGATAATTGGTACGTGGGCAAGTCACAATTACATAAAAGTGACACAAGTTGCTATTAGTATAGGTAATCCAATTTTAAACGAGTTATAATCATGCTGAATGTAAGCGCCTAGTTCATGCAATGAACAATTATATGGGTAATACTTTATATAAGCTAGAAACATTTACACTTTACATTTAAAATGTATCACATTCTGATCCAGGTTTCGTCGATTTAAAAATCTAAATCGAATTCAACTCGATTTAGTAGCAGTCCTTTTATATCTCACTATTCCAAAATGAAAACAAACGCAAATTAAAATATGATGTTACTTTTGAAGTGAATACACCTTCAAAACGTCCAGACATTGCAGGACATTGCAACAATGGATGAACGCTATCAGGGCAAATGGAGCCCATCAATTATTGCAGGCTATTGCTTGACGGTGACAAGATATGATCAATTTAATGCATACAAGAGACAAGCCAAGAAGCGCAGAGTAGACACTGAATAAGGACTAAACTATGTACTTATATATACTTAATAGTGTTTTGCCTTTTGTTTCATAACACATTTTATTTATATAACCCTTTTGCTGATTTATTGACATGTTATCATGTAAAGCAACCATAAACATATGCAAATACCTAGGTTTACAATTTATGAGTAAAACTCTATCTACACAATATACATAGACGTAAAATATTAAAACTTAAATATCTTGGGAACAGTAGACAATCAGTTGTTTTGATTGTCACATTTGAATTCAGCACATCAAAATCCATAATAAACAACACATTTCATCTCTGAAGCAGACGTCTAAAAAATTGTAGACCAGTGTAATTCTTAAATGTGTCTATTGTTTTAACGTTATATTAGTAACAGTCTGTGCTGCTCTCCAGCTTTTTGTGTGAAAAGTGAGTTAAGTTTAGCTTAATTGTGGCAAGTTGGCTCAACAAACTCAACTACAATCGAAAGTTTTGTTTCATATTTCGTACTCTAACGAGATATTTAAGCATACCATTGATTGTGATTCATCATCAGAATTTAGGCCGAGGTAAAAAAAAACTTTCTGAATCGTGAGTTACCGGCGTTGGTTCGACTATATTTGTATTGGATTTCATTATCTTTGTATTCCTTATAAAAACAACAAAATTATTTACGTCAAAATCACTGACACTTGTTTAAATAACTCGCATAAAAATGTAATGTTTCCGACGGTTTAAACTTTTAATGCATGTTATTATTATTCGCTTTCATCACAGTTCTTCATTTTATTCGAGTTTCGGGCGTAATTGAAAGTTATTATCAGCTTTCTATTTCGCTTAGATTGTATCTATACTTGTGAGTGGCGCTTTGTAAAAATAGGGATTATTATTATTATGTTACATGTGTGTTGGATCATCGTACTCAAACGTTTCTTTTCATCTTATTCAAGTACACCCCAAGTGGACCACCACTCAGGTATACCATCGAAGACAGGAGAAGATGATGCCAAGACCGAGGGCAGTTCCGATCCCACCTATCTCGTCCCCGACAATCCATACCTCATTGTGAAATAGCCATTCAAGTCACTCACCACTTCCTTCTGTTCGATGTAAAAAACGGCTCCCCTACTGAGGAGCCCTGAGAACAACTGTTTAAGGGCTCTTTATAAAATGTTACTTATTATAGGTCTCTGTACGAGTCTAAGGGTACCTATGCAAGATTAATGGTCTCAGTGGAACTCTATAAATAAGTCTTCGAATGGCTGATGTAGGTGAAGAGTAACAACTATAAGTTTTATACTCTTTGGTTCTTTCGGTAAAGTCACGTAGGTATAAAATTAAATAAATAAATCGTGACGTTTTGGGCGCAACACAAGCGTCCGTCATCAGGTGGGACAACCACAGCAGGAAACAATTGCTGAAGTGGGCTGTAACAAGAGGCCATATAGGCAAGAGAAGGGGGGGGGGGGGGGGGCAGGGAGGAGAGACAGGGAGGGTGGGGGTGTGGGGTAGGGGGAGTGGAGGACACAAGCACGGCAAAAATGCCCGTGTGGGGAGGGGAAGTGGGCGGAGCTGGGAGTGGGAGGGTTAGGAAACTAGAGATGCGGATATAAAGGCAGGCCAAAAGCAGTATTGGATGGTTTTAACTGGTTAATAACATCCTTCCAATGATTGCTCAATCTGTATCCATCTTCCGGGTTGAAGTTATTTCTGCGTGTATTAATCTGGATAGATTCATTTTTTTGCCGTGCTTGTGTCCTCAACTCCCCCTAACCCACACTCCCACCCTCCCTGTCTCTCCCCCCTGGCTCCTCCCCTCCTCTTGCCTAGATGGCCTATTGTTGCAGCAGCACTTTTGCCCAGTTCAACAATTGTTTCTTGCTGTGGTTGTCCCACCTAATGACGGACGCTTGTGTTGCGCCTGAAACATCGTGATTTAATTTATTTTATTTTATATCTACGTGACTTTACCGAAAGAACTAAAGAGTATGGATCCCTGCAGTCACGAAAACTTTTAAACTATAATTTTACATTGAGGTGGTCGTCCCAGATGACTGCGTCATATGCAGTCGATTGCACTGCTCTGATGATGCCTCCCTCCTTCATATTTGTGAATTGGGCATTGAGGCGTAATACCTTCTATGGTCGACACTGGGTAACCACAGGCACAATACCAGCAGATAATTGTTATGTTTATTTTAATGTACGCTTCAAGTATCCGCAAATGCCATGTTTTGTATGCATTAGATTTTGGGTTGTGCACATAATTTCCGTGGAAGATCGATCAAAGCCATGGATTGTCTGCATCGGGTCCACATTCTGGGTAAAAGTAGAGACAGCTGGCCCGAACAATACGAAGCCATGGATGATGCCAAATATAACATTGGGTGATATAAATATATGTATTATTTACTTACATAGACTATATAGGGGTGAATCAATCAAATGTGTTCATTTGTTGTTATTCTTTAAGAGAATCGGTTGACTGTCGGGACTCCTTTGTGGTCACATGGTGACGACCGAGTCACGGACACGCAGGATGGAAGACTGAGATACGAATCAAACGTGCATGAAATAATATAATTTTCACAAGCACGGTAAATGCCAAACCTGACCCCTTTGCAAATTCCACGTTAAAATGTATTCATTTTACCAATTGTATGGGTAAAGGTACTCTTGTAACATGGATGGTGCACCACCATATCTGCATGTATAATTATTTTTGATTTCTATTTACTATAATGTATATGTATCCACTTTATAAGACAATGTAATCGATATGTATCCACTACGCAATACAACTGGTTTAAAGGTAACCTGCAGGTTTAGTTATCATACATGAAAGTAAAGGGAAATAAATGAAACATCTTACATTTTCATACCCATTTGTTCCATTTAAAAATGTTACTTAATGACGAAACTTTATCATTCGTTATGACACGTACTTAGCTTTATCAGGAGCATCTGCTTTGAAAAAACTTTACCGACACCCGCATCAATTTACTCATATTTTTCACAAACACTTCTGCATGAGACATGCAAGGACGGATTATCGAGCTAATTTTCTGTAAGTTTCAGCTGCTATCAAAGTGTTCATCAGAAAGTTTACTACAAGAGGTCGCTATCAAGGTAACATGACACGCAGTTTGATGCCATACAGCAAACCCTTCCCTCTCGCGGGTTTAGCCATCTCGGTTTTTCGGCAAATGTATCGAGGTGTAGAGTTCGCCAATTGCACCCTCCGCTGACAGCTTGACCATTCGAGGTTTACCCCACGAGATTTCTGCTGTACAGCTTCGGCACCGCACTGCTCGTAATGATCTTCTTGGTTCTTTCGGTAAAGTCACGTAGAATGGAAATAATAAAAATAAAACATAATAAAATAATTCTCACGATGTTTCGGCCACAACGCAAGCAGCCGAGACAGAGTCTGAATGACTCTGTCTTCTCGACAGACCTGTTCTTCACCTGAGGACGGCTGCTTGCGTTGTGGACGAAACGTCGTGAGAATTATAAAATTATTTCTTATTATTTCATTATTTCCATTATATGTGATTTTACCGAAAAAACCAAGAAGACGAATCCCAGCAATCACGAAAGCTTTAAATCGAAATTTTGCTCGTAATGATGTTGCTGCTGTAGCACAGCGGCCATCTCGTCTCCATTTAATCTCCCAGGCCACGTGGTGGTGCTCCCAGCCAGCTTCCAGTGAGGAGAAAGCAAGGATTCAGCCACCCGCAATCTTTTGCCCTGTAGTGTGAAGTACCGTACGCCGATACGTGCTCAGTACCGCGCGTCGATACGTGTACAGTATTGTAAAGCACATTTTTTTTTCATTCTATACATTAACCGTGCAAGGTATATTTAAACACTCGACAATATTTATATTTTACATTAAAAATACTTCCTGTGTAATGCTTCGATTGATGTAGGGTCACATAAGATAAACGTAGGGTGTCGTATTACAAAATCAGAATATTTATACTTCAGGAGGAATCTGATGACCTATAAGGCTCCTTTCCATAGATGTCACAGTAGGGGGCACGGGTTCAGAACGCTACAAAAACAAACACAATAAACACAAACATGATGGGGGTTAACAGAACTGCGAACCAAACCCTCGTTTTCCCATAAGCTTTTAGAGTTAGCAGATCGTGAATTTTCCGATTGCCGCTCTTTTCAAGAAAGTAACCCCTGCCCCCTTCTGCCACGATGGGCAAATGATTTTCTGTACTCGGACGGATTTTCTCATCAGGCGATGTAATTCGACGCACGAGTTTCCACATGGTACAACTCATCGCTCGCAATCTTAGCAGCAAATCGTTATCATTTTTTTTACGATTACCTCCATGGAATACACACCTTCAAATAAAGTGTATAACCTGCCACAAACTATCGTAAGAAAGTTGTATTTTTATTTATTTTTTATTAAATTTCGTTGCGTTTAGTTAGTCGCCCCCCCCCCTCACACCTCCGATTAGCAGTTGGCTACGTACGAACGATTGGTTAAAATATCAACGTTTGTTATTCGTGATATTTATTTATCTGAACCACGTTGAGTCATGGAAGGGGAGTGGGTTACTCGGTTGAAATTAAATTCAACAAGGGGGTAACAGTACGGTCGTAGCCAAGCAAGGTTGAGAACCACTGCTCCACACTTGCTACACTGTCAGACCTTCACACTCCAGCAGTGGATCAGGCCCTCCAGGAGCACTCGGTGTGGTTGCCCCAGACTCCAGCAGTGGATCAGGCCCTCCAGGTGAACTCGGGTGTGGTTATCCCACACTCCAGCGGTGGATCAGCCCTCGCTGGTGCCACCTGTCTTTTATTCTCCTCCGTGTTTTTATTTGCCTTTTATACGACCCTCATTTGTATAATCTGGAGGGGATCTGACCTGGATGCTGTGTTGAATGAGCTATGCACATATCACATTTCTTCACATGTGTAGAGGAGCAGTGGGTGACCAGAAAAGGTCGATAGTCGAGGGTGCTTAGCAACAATAATTCTGAAAGATAGCCTACTGATGTGCCGGGATGAAGCTGCCCTCCGACATGTTGTCGTGGTGCCCACAGCCCTGCGTGGGAATATTGTGTGGGCCGTCCACGAGCGGCTGATGCACCTAGGTGTGCACAAAACGCTCGATATGATCCATAAGGACTTTTTTTCTGGCCGGGCATATCTGCTGACGTTGCCGACTTGCTAAAGGGATGTGTCCGGTGTGCATATCGGAATCGCCTGGCAAAGCCCTGCTACCCACCATTACAATCTATCAAAGTTTCACAGATCAATGAGCTTGTCGCTTTTGACATCTTGGGGCCTTTTCCCGCCACCCCTCGCGGGAATAAGTCTTTATTGGTTGGGGCAGAATACTTTACACGATTGCCCATGGCCTGGCCTTTCCTTAAACAATCCGCGGCGGCCATCACGGTAGCATTCCTCAACGTGTACGTTATGGATACGGGGGTGCCGGAAAGGCTACTTACAGACCAGGGGAAAAAATGTATCTTCTAAATTGCTGCGTGAGGTGTGCTACCTGCTTGGCACTCAGAAAGTGCGTACATCACCATACCACCCACAAACTGATGGAATGGTTGAGCGGTTAAATCGGATATCCGCAGTGATGCTCAGCCACCAGGTGAGCGAATCCTAGCAAGATTTGGGATTTGCGCATCCCACGTGTGTTAGCCACGTACCACATGGCCCCTCATGCTTCGACTTTTTACCTTATGTACAGCAGAGACCACGACCCCCCAATTGACGTTCAATTCGGTATAATTCCCTCTAAAACCACTTCTAAAATTGCAGATTCACTTCGTTTTAACAGCGAGAAGCTGACTGAGGCACGGGAGGCTTCAAGGATGAATTCAGAGTCACGGCAAATGGCTAATGAGCGTCTTCAGGGCTCGCGCACCTCTGACCACAGGTGGAATTCGGGTGACAAAGCGTGGCTCCACTGCCCGCAGGTCGCAGTGGGGACATCACCCAAATTATTTAAACAATGGAGGGGGCCTGCTGTTGTGGTGCACATCGTTTGCCCGCAATGCTTGCAAATTCGTTGGGGTCGTCGCAGCTGGTATGTGCTCCTGTCGCGTCCGGTCACGAGAACTCGGTCCAAAACCCAACGATTTTCTTGACCCTCCCAAAACATACACTTCTGCACAAGCTCCCAATGAGTACCGCACACTGTTGGTCATTCTTTGTTGCCTTTTATTGCATTGTTTAGAGTACGTCATATGGGGAGAGGGGGCGGGTCATGGACTCACGCGCGGCTGACATGACTCGTATTTATGTAAATGCTGTACATTTGTACAGTCGGGCTTGGGTATTTATGACGG